TACATGTGCAGCTGGCTGAGCAGAACTTTTACACAGATGAGAAAACTAAAATCTGCAAACCAGGAGTAGAATGGGAATAAAAAGCTACAATGTGGAGCAATATTGGGAAACTAAGCAGAGTTGCAGCCTGTAGGACTCATAATCCAAGTTGGAAGTGAATCAGGACTGTTGGTGAGTATAAAAGTGTCACTGAAACCTGGAGAAAAAGATTTGTAGGTCACAGACTAGAGAATATTCAGCAAAATTGCTACCTCTCACAGCATGGAACCCTGAGAGGGAGGCTCACCATCTCAGGGTCTGCCTATGGAGACTTCTGGGAAGAAGGTGGAAAGGACTACCAGGCCTCCTCTGTTTGCCTTTGAGAAAAATGAGAGGAGAGAGATGAACTGAAGACCGTTCAACCTTCAAAGGTTGCCTTAGAAAAGGAGAGGCTAGACTAAAACAAGGACCTGTTACAAAGAGTGTGGTGATGTGGGAGAGGGGATAGCTCCTGTCTAATAGATTTTGGTACACAAGAAGCATACCTCTTAAAAAAGTGATTCCACTGTGCCATTGCCTATCTCCAAGGAAAAGCGACAGAAAAAATGAAAAGTAGGAACAAGTAGAAGTGTAGCTCAGTGGTAGTGTATGCTTAGCATTCATGAAGCCCTGAGATCAACACACACACACACACACACACACACACAGCATTCATGAGGCCCTGAGATCAAACACACACACACACACACACACAAAATGAAAAGGGGGACATTGGATACTCTACTTAATATAAGCAAGCCATAAGTGTAAAAAATTCATCAACTGCAAACTGAGGCATTTCTTAAGGAAGTATAACATTAACTCAGAGAATGGCAAGAGCCCAGAGAGCAGAGTGAAGAGGCCTGAGTTCTTTCCTAGGGACTAGGACTAGGCTGTAATCAACAAACTGGTGCAGGTGCTTGATGGGAATAAACACTCAGATCAGTGTTTGCAGGGTGCTTCTCACAGCCCCAAGCCCACCACATTCATACCACTCTCCTCACTGTGTGCTGCATGTGTGTGGACAGGGAGATTACAAGTTACTATGATGTAGGGGTCCAGGGCATACAGGGTTAATATGAAGACATGCAGGGAATATGAGATCCAAACCTCCCTGGTCCTCTAAAGGGCTCTTTATGGTTAACACTGCAGTATTAATGGGTCCCACATCCTGCAAAGTGGGTGATAACCAATGCCTACCACTTCGGAAAGCATGTATGGTGTAGCCCACTGTAGTAACCCTTTAGGTGTTTTTCCCTACTGAAGGCTTTCATTAATATTACTTGCATGTAATGCATACAATTTTAACACAGTGAATTATGGGAAGGAACATGTACAATCAGAAATCGGTTATATAACATCTGCTGTCTTCTAATTGCCATTAGACCACCAGAAACATCCAGGTTTTTTCCACCAGCCTGGCTCAATCCACATAAAACCAGAGAGACCCCTGGCAACTGTAATATTGAGCTGCATGGCTGTAGCCCTGGTTTCTTCCTTGATGGCATTTCTTTCACTTTCCACTTTCAATAATCTTTGCCACACACTCCTTGTCATTCAGATCAATTCTTTGATCTTGATGCCAGACAAGAGACTGATGTAATTGGTAGGCCCCAGATAACAACCAGAACCTGATTTAATTGACCTGCCTACCAGTGTCAAAACAGGAAGGTAAAGATCACTGGATAAACTGAGAGAGGCCAAGTATATTTTGAACTTTGGTGAAATGTGAGTAATTTGTGGCCAGAATACAAACTTCGTGCTTCTAGTGACCTTCCAGTTGGGACAAGTGATATCTTGTAGCTGACCACACTGGCCTGAAACAAACCAGAGACACAAAGAAACCCCAAAACGTACACAACACAAACCATACTGCTCTGTCCGGTTCTTTGAACCTCAAAATTGTGACAGGTAAAGAGAAGTTCTATTTAAACCAGTAAGTTTTTGAGATGGAACACCTTAAACATCACTAGAGACCATAGCAAGTAACTTATTGAAACATGGAGTTTGGAGGTTTAGACTTAACTTAAGGCTGCAAATAAATGAATGGTAAAGCACATGTCACAATTATGTTCTGCCTCAAAATACAACTGTGAATTTAAAATGTTCAGCTAATGAATATTTTATTCTTAACCAACTATAAACTACAGTTAAATTCCATAAACTTAGCCATAGCTAGTGCAAACATCCATTTTTTGTTATTCGTTCATAAATAGTTAACTAACATATCAGTGAAATTAAATGTAGTCTTTAATGGAGTTTGTAAACATGACAGATCCTTTAGAATTACAGAAAACTGTATATTAATAAATACAAATACAGTCACTGAGAAACATACAAAAACTAGTTAGCAATTATGAAAATTTCTGTTTCCTTTTTTTTTCTTTGCATATTTTTTCATTGACCTTTTCTCAAATGGGTCCCACTAACTCCTGAATGCTTTCTTTTAGGGGACTCCTGAGGATGTCACCAGATGTTCTGTTTAGAGGCACTGTTGTATACAAATACATTCTTCAGGTTTTTCCAGGAATGACATCTGCAGTTACGTTTATTCACGAGCATTATCACATCCTCTTCCTACATGCTCTGTATGCAAACAGTAGGCCAAAATAAAAAGAATAAACAAAAGTTGCACAAGTTCACACCAAATGACATTAGACCTGGCAGAGAGGGAGGAGTGCAGGATTGAAGGTTGGATCATGGGCAGGATGGCTGTGGTTCCTGAAGTGAACCACAGACAGCTATATCCATGCATGAGAACCACTGAGTGAGTAGAATGTGGCCCAGGATGGAGCACTTGGTTGAGTTATGCTAAGGGGCAAAAAAACCGGAGGAACTGAGAACAGAGAAAACAATGTGAGAAAGGCTGTGATAGGGACTAACAAAGAAAATATCAAGCACATCACAAGAAGTAGCTTCAAATATGGTAAATGGTGATGGATGTGAAGGACATTTAAGTTATTAATGGGTTTCTGAATAGCTGAACTAAGACAATGCAGAGTGGGCTAAAGGAAAAATGAGCAATGAGAAGATCTGCCAGGAAATTTAACTTTGAACAGTGTGCACATGTGTATGTGGGCTGACAGACAGGTACAGAGTCACTGAACAACCTGTGGTCAACTCAATCCTCTAGATATTCCAGGTTTAATCCACAAATGAAATATGGCCTTCCAAAAGCTGCCTGGGACCACACTATTTTTACCAACTCCAGAAAAATTTATTAAGAGAGAATTGCATTAGCACCAGATAACCATTTCCACTGCAGAACATTAGAAATGCTATTTCCACATTGGTCCTGAAAAACTCACTACCCATCTATGAAAGTAGGTAATGTGTTAGCCTTTGGTGAAGTTTTTATGTCTCATGAGAAGTTAACATGCTTTCTTCTCAGGTAGCCTTCAAATATATAATAAATATGCCTTCTTGTCATGGCATCAGAAAGACCAGAGATCAGGCCAGGCATGGTGGCACACAATTTTAACCCTAGATTCTCTGGAGTCAGAGATAGGAAGATTGTGGTTCAAAGCAAGCAGGAGCAAAAAAGTTAGCAAGACCTCATTTCAAAATACAAGATGGGTACGATGCATCACACCTATAATCCCAGCAACAAAGGAGGTGGACATAGGAGGATTACAGTGCCCCAGAGAAAAATACGTACGACCCTTCCTAAAAAGTAACTAAAGGTAAAAGAACTGGAGGTATGGCTCAAGTGGTAGAGCATGTGTCTAATAAGCACAAAGTGTTCAAACCCCAATGCTGTACTCCCCACCAAAAAAAGTCCAGAGACAAATTTGTACTCAACACAGATGTTTTCAGCATCTTAACACCTGCCTGTGTCGGGTGCAGTGGCTCACGAGGTAGAGCACCTGCCTAGCAAGTGGTAGAGTGTGCAGCCCTGAGTTCAAACCCCAGTACTGAGAAAAAAAAAAAAAAAAAGGAAAACCCTGCCAATGTCTGTATGTTAACTCTATCTTATTTATGTGCATCACCCTGAAGCTGTTTTACTCATTTCTACAATTCCATTTGTATTTACAGACTTCACAAATTCATGAATTACTATGCAAAACAAAGTGAAGAATGAACAAAGAACTCACCAGAAATTGGTTCATTTTTTATTTCTCCTACAAGCACATTCTGGAGGTTGTAGCTGAGGCATTGTTTGGTTTTGATTCTCCTGCTCAAAACTCTACATGTTAGCTGGATATAGTGACAAAAAAAAAAAAAAAAAACCCTCTCTATAGATTAGTCCCTTATACAATAACAGGCAACAGAGTCCCCAGTGAAGATGCAGCTGTTACTATGAACAAAGGGGAACCATGTATGTTATACTGGATCCCTCCCTCTTGGTATTTACCACAAGCACAGAGCTTCGAGTTCAAACTCTAGCCCCACTTTAAAAAAAGAAAAATTACTTTTTAAAAAAAAAGTATGTGTTTGCTGAAAATGCACCTGGGGCCCCCAGAACGACAATGAAAAAAATTTTTTAAATTTTAAAAGCGTACTATTCAAGACAAGAAAGAAATACCACTGGAGGCTAGGCTTGGTGGTACATGTTTTCAATCCCAGCTACACAAGAAGGTGAGGTGGCAGGAAGATTAGGGTCTGAGGCCTTTCCCAGGCAAAAGCAAGTACTATTTGAGGGCTGGGGCATGGCTCAAGTGCCAAAGCTGTTTCCTTCAAGGCCCTGAGTTCAAATCTCACTATGGCTAAATAAAAGGTTACGGTAAAAAGACCCAATTTGAAAAATTCACTAAATGCAAAAAGGGTTGGGGGGTGTAGCTCACGTGTGCAGTGCTTGCGAAGCCCCGCGGCCAAACCCCAGTACTGCTAAAAAAAAAAAAAATCACTTGGACTACAGGAGGTACTAAGTACTGCCCTAGGGACTCCAGAGGCACAGCCCCAATGTAATTATTCCCCTTTTCATGGCGATATGCATGCTGTAACTCAGCATTTTTGCTGACGTTTGTGCATAACAAATGTACCTGTAATTTGGGGACACCGTCCCTGTGATGGTTCCATGAGGCGCGTCCACGTACCCACAAGACAACAATCCGCGATGTGCCACTGACGTGCCCTGACCAGGAGGACGCCACTAGATGTGACAGGACCAGGTGAGGAAAGGCTCTGCTCCAACATGCGCCTTCCTGGCCGCCGTCACACACATGGCCGCTGCGACTTTCCCTCCCAGCCCGGCTCAGCTCCGCGGGCCACCTGTGTCACGGACCGGGGGACGACCACCTGCGGTTCTGCCAACACCTCCTCAGGGTCGCCGCTCCTGCACGCCAGGGTCCCCGTGGTCGCCTTCTCTCTCACCCTCCAATGGACCTTCAGGGGTTTCCGCGGAGGAATTCAAAGTCCGCGGAAAAGCATCTGTAAGACAGCAGTTCCGGGAACTTCCGGGCAGAAACTGGCGGGGACGGGGACAACGCCTGCGCAGAAGATACCCGGAAGCGTTCCCCTCCTGATGCTGCTGGTGACTGGACTGGGTGAGACTACATTTCCCACAAGACTCTGAGCAAGGCTCACAAAACAAGGGAAACTTCATTTACCAGGTGATGTGACTCCAAATTGACCAGTATGACAAGTTCTAGGATTGGTCCATACCCACGGGATAGTCATGTGGATTCCTCCTTCTTTATTAAATCCTGCTGCGATTAATCCAACGTATTCTGTGATAATTAGATTAAAACTATCATTTTAAATGCATTGAGCCAGCCTCCTGGCCCAACCCTGTAATCCTACCCACTCCAGAGAGTGAGAGAAGGATCATGGTTGCAGGCCAGCTCTAGCAAAAAGTTTTAGACACCCCACTGATGTACTCTCTTGTGCCCCAGTTCATCCCTGTGCTGTCCCCCTGGTCCCCAGGGTTACTGGTATTTCACTCCCTGAAATTCTATGGTAAGTAACAACCTCAAAGAGCTCCTGCTAGTAGAGGCAATGGCATCTTGAAGAGAGAGGAAAAATGCGCCGCCCCACCCACGTGGGATTTGAATCCCAGAGAGGAAATTGCTGTCTCCAAGCAATCTTAAAATAAGGGAGAGAAAGGCAAGGTGCTGGGGCAGAGCCTGGGTTCTGGGACAGGAACATTTTAAGAAACAAGGGAGTTCACCAGGACATCTCAGGGCCTGTAATTCTGCAGCCAGAGTGGTGCCAATGTAATTGGTATCCAACAATTATGAATGGTGAAGGTGCCAATATTTTGCTGGGACCTGCATTGTTCACCTAATGGTACCAAACCAGGCTAAGATAGGGAGAGACCAGGACTCTTCTGATTTAATACTGTATTTCAGGTTAAACATTCTTCTCCCTCTCTCTGAATTTTCCTTTTCATTGCAAATATGTGCAGATTATTAACACCTTAGATCAAACCAGCACCCTAGCCCACGGACCACCCAAAGCCTTCCCCACTCAATGATTTTTGGTGATCAAGAACCACCCAGGTTTTTCCTCTCCCATAGGTTAGCACAGGTTTTAGAAGCACCTGGAAAAAGGAAGAGCTTTCTGTGCTTCTGACTCATACCTGTCCCACCATGGCCTCTTATTCCCTAACTTTTCATAAACCTTTATGATCACCTTCACTATGTCTACATATCCTGCCTGGATGCATCCATGTGGATGAATGCATCCATGCATTCTGTTTATCAGCCCATACAACCTATGGCGAGCCTGTCTACTAGTACTCCTCTATGGGAGGGAACTGGAAGCAGAGAGTGGGCTGAGAGTTTCCTGCAATAATGGTGGGGCAGAAGCAGAGAGCCAGCCAGACTGCAGGCTCTTGGCTTCAGTACCATCTGTTTCATCTCCATAATTCCTACGGCCACTTGAATCTGGGTCTTTACTTCTACCTTTTCCATGCTTACTAAAAGAGCCAGATAACACCAGTTTCAATGGAGACACAATGATTTCTACCATAGCAGTCTGCCCCTTTCCCAGCCTGTCATACAAATTCGAATTTAAAACAAATTTTTGGTGTAAACTAAAACTGTGGACATGTGCATCCTGTATCCTTTGTCCAGATGAGAATATGGGATGCCAACCCTACAACCAAGACTAGGGTCTCTAAACTTAGGTTAAAGGTTTGGCTAATAACAAACCTACTGTAGCCCAAGGTACACTATTAATAGAGATTATTAAAAACACCCTCTAGAGGTAAATCTCAAGCCTTCAATATCTAAAATTGCACACAGAATTAATGTAATTGTTTTATAGACATTGTGTGAATTTTGTGTATGTCTATTGTATGACTAATTCAAGACAAAACTCTGATAGCTATGACAATAGTCATATTGGAGACTGAGACTGACTCAAAACACTTTCCTAGAATTGACTCTTGCTTTAGCTATAAATCCAAAGAACAGAATGGGACACATTCCAATCTGTTTCTCAAAAATTTTCAAATAACTGATCAACGTACTGGTGGCCACTTAGTTATTTTTACATGTTCTTGAACTCTTGTATCTATGCATTCTTAAATTGACATTTATGGCATGCCTCTTGTAGACTTTTTTTTTGCATATACATGTGTCTGAACATCTTTAGGATGATTCTTATTGTAGATGTAATGGAATTGAATGAAAGGCTTATGTTCTCTTGTCTCCAGGCTCCCCCCACCCCCTTTCCGGGTGCTACTTTTAAGAAAAGCAGTTTTTCAAAGTTTTATGTCAATCAGGTCTAACTAAAAAACAGGCATTATTTTATGGACAGTAACTTTAATCTGTTTCATTTTGTCCTAAATGCAATTTACACTCAATTCTTTCATAATTAGGTCTGATAACAAAGGTGTCTTCATAAGTTAGTTATTCTATAGACAGTTTAAGATTGCCTTTTTTCCCATTCTCCTGAAAGATTTTCAAGGGTCATGTAGAACTAGAACCTAAATCTCTATGTCCATAACAACAAGGCTGTCTTAATATTGTTCTGCTCTGCGTAACATCTGTAAGAAACTTGTAATGAAAGATTTTATCAAAATAATTATTAGTGTTTTCTGTTGATCTTGTCAAGCTTTTAAATACTTAAACTGAACCTTCACTAAATCAAAGTTCATTTAAGTATTTGCTCATTTAATGTTCTCTTAAATGACCACCTTATAACTGTGTTCTGTGTCTAGACTTTATCTAATGTACAAACATTTGCAAAATTAAAAGTGTCAGTTTAATATACGTAAAACAACCAGCTAAAGCTCTCTTTTACCCAAAAGTATTACATCAAAACATTTGACATATAAAATTATTAATGAAACTTTTGATAGTTGTGCTGTTTGTGATTAGTAACAGTCAGAAAAACCATTCAATTTGGGCAATCCTGCTATTTAAAATCTGGCCTATATTTGTGTTACTCAAATGAGTGTTATTATTTATGTGAAATGTACTGAATCCCTGCCTTCAAAGGTTCATGTCCATTTCACAATGGAAAATGCGTTCAGTCCATCTGCAACCGTTCCCATTATCTTAACAGTCCCAGAATTGCTCAAATGTCAAGAGTCTCCTCTGAGCCCCAAACCAAACTCTTAATTGTGAATCCCCAGAAAATCAAAAAGAAAGTTAGACGTTTCAAGGTATAGTTGTTGAAGGGTAATTTTTTCATTCCAAAAGGAAGGAAAAGGGAATAGTAAGGTGAAATCAGACCAAAAGAAGACCAAAAGCAAGCATGGCAAAACAATGAACTGTTCAGCATCAGGTCCAAAATCAGGGACACCAGTACTGTGATCTGAGCCCCAAGATCTCAGGCAGTTATGTCCCCTGACAGGTGCAACCAAGGTGGCTGCTCTTGGGTTGGCTGTGCTCACAGCCTGTGGCCTTCCCTGTTGGGAGCGTGAGCTGCAATCTGACAAGGTCATTGAAGCTTAGCAGGATCCTGACAAGGTCAGGGGCTGCAGGTGCTCAATGTCTCTCATTGAGGTTTTGAGGAAACATGGAGTGGCTCCCTTTGTCGGGAGAAAAGAAAGGTCAGGAACAGGGCACATGCTCTTGGCAACCAGACCTGGGTTTGGTGTATGTGAAACTAGGCAAAACTAGGTGAAACTAGGAGGGTCCAAGTTTTATTTATGAAACCGTAGAGTTTTGGAGTGAGGACATTGTTTTTCAGGTAGAGGGCATTGTTTCCCAGGCATAGAAATTCTCCTTGCATTGTATAACTTCCTGCCTTGTACTGCTTATAAGCCTATTGCAAAAATTAAAAAAATGCCATTTGGTCCTCTTGATTTTTGTCTGTTCATTCCTTTCCTGAGCCTTTTCAGTCAAGGACCTCTTTATCCCAGCACTTACCTTTGAATATCATCCAACTGTCTGACAACTGACCTCCAATAGTCTCCTTGGCAGCTTGCTTTCATTCTCACAGCTTCACACCTTGACCTCTCAATGGCTTCTTGCAGAAATTCTGGCCTTACTGTATACTGCTTGACCGCCTAGTATTTCCTTTGAAATCTCTATGGAAGCCTCCATGACCCCGTGTTTCTTGCATTCTGCAGACCTAAAAGCAAGCGTCATGTGGAGGATGCCAAAGTTGGCCACCTCCTTGTACTGTACAGCCTGGGTCCACTTGAGCCTTAGTTTCAGCAGCCTCTAAGTGCCTAGAGGATTGACCATGGTTAAATAAATGGCAGGGAGACAATTCCCCAGGAGGGAATTCTCTTCTCACAGAAAAGCTCTTCTCACAGAAAAGTATCTGAAATAGCTGGGCATCTATGGCTGACACCTGCAATCCTAGCTACATGGGAGGCTGAGATGAGATGGATCATGGTTTGACGCCCACTGGGTAAATAGTTCTCAAGATCCCATTTCCAAAATGTGCAGAGCAAATGGAATGGAGGTGTGATTCAAGTGATAAAGCTTTAGGTGTAGGGCATTTTGGTTGTTTCCATAGCTTGGAGATTGTGAATAATGCTGTGATTGAACATTGGTGTACAGGTGTCTCTATTGGATCCTGATTTATGTTCTTGTGGGTAGATTCCAAGGGAGGTATCACTGGATCTTATGGCAGTTCTATCTCTAGCTTTTTGAGGAATCCCCATGCTGATTTCTACAGTGGTAATACTAATTTGCATTCCCACAAACAGTGTGTAAGAGTTTCTGTTTTGCTAAATCTTCACCAGCATTTAATGTTGTTATTGCCCTTGAGTATGTCCATTCCAAGTTCGATGAGATGAAATCTAAGGGTTATTTTGATTTGATCTCTTTTGTATCCAGAAGGTTGAATACTTTTTCATGTATTTACTGGCCATTTGTACCTCTTCCTTTGAGAAGTCCCATTTCTTCATTGGGATGTAGATTCTTTGGGGGTGAGTTTATTGAGTTCCTTTTAGGTTCTGGAATAGAGTGTCTTATCAGATGAGTAGCTGGCAAAGACTTTTCTCCCATTCTGTGGGCTGTCTCCTGAGTCCAGTGACT